TGGCGCATGTAGTTTTGTTTTCGTGCTGTACCCTCTGAACTCTCTAGTACAGATGACGATGGGTAGTTTTACCGAGACTTTGCCGGACACCCAACATCATTCGACCATTCTTTTACAGGAAAATATTACAATTTACCACAGCTGAAATGCCAAACCTCATATCGAGTTAGACTTTTTGGAGTCACTGAGCTTGAAATAATGGATGAGTGTGTCAGTTCATTGCAAACCATGGCGCACTGATTGTTGCTTTACAAAGTAACACTGCTTAAGAGCTACAGTATCTGCCCGAAGACATGCTGCAAGGTTGCTTTTAACGATTGGGTCCTTACTAAGTTCTCATCTACGGCAATAGATTTAGAATTCGTTGTAGATGTTCTGTTCCTCTTTGAGATTTCACAGCTCCAGCTGATCAATCAAAACTAATCCGCACTATCTCGAAAGGGCACAGCACATGGATGGTGATAGAATTCCAAATTGTCTCATGTGAGCTATACCAAGGTTGCTTTCTCGAACTATTCTCAATCAGAGTGTGTGTAACTAAGGTGCTTGACATAAGCAGGAAAACCCCCTCTCTTTGATCGTAATACTTCACACAACAGCAAGCTTTCCGTTCGAACCGTGATACTGGATACTCTATTCACGGGCGAGACAAATATATCTCCCTGTGCGCTTGTGGTTATTGATCCAACGCAGGTGCTTTAATTTCATGTGATAGTTCTCGGCACAGATGTTAAGAACCACACCTCTAAATACCTTGGCATCTAATCCGGAAAACACATATTCATTTTACTCAGGCAATGGATGGGAAGGAAACCGGGGGATGTTGTTATTGCTCTGTAGTATTGGGTAAGTAATGTAGTTTTAATTTATTCACCAACCTCAGTAAACATGATGAATACCTGCCTACCTAGGTAGCTTCAGCAAGAAAATTAAGGATCGCGGTGAGCATGTTCCCTATCTCGATCCCAGTAGGAATAATTTGGGATCAATTGGCCTTATATTTGTTCTGAAATGATATACGGTGAGAGGGGTTAAGCAATGAACGCTTGAAAAGAGGCGGTAATGATTCCTTAAGATACAGTACTTGTTCCACTAGCTATCGGCCCCCGTCGACATTTCAAATTCTTAACATACAGCTTTTGCGAAAGAAACTACAATGGCGAACATAGGAGACCACGATACCTGAGCCTGCCTTAATCGACGATCATCACACGGTCTTGAAGCAATTTGGGGCACCTTTTCGGAAAGTTACCATTCGAAACGGTGGTGGCGTCCCCCTCCCCTCCCTTTCCCATATATCCCGCCATGATCTCATGGTATTCTCTGTTATGAGTCTTTCCAGTTGCTGATTGAGGTCCATAGGGTCGTCATCAAAAAAATCCAATCTCAGTCCATCGAAACCAATCCTTCGCCCCTTATAGCGCACTTGGGAGCCCACAACGAGTAGCAATTCGGGGATTGTAGTCCCAAAATTGAGGGACCTTTGCGGCTCGGTAATTTTGAATGCCTTCAGAAAGTGGGGTAACCCATTACGAGCCCATGAGCGGTTTGCTGTGACAGCAAAGGACGACAATTCAGAGCTTCTCGGACTTTCTGAAACTATTCTGCCTAATGCTTGTATTTCTTTTGCGCCTGCATCGAGGGGTAGGTTGCGTTTAATGACTGATGTACTTTGAACGAGGATGGTATCGTTCTTCCATTGTACGTACGTGTTGAAACAAGTGGTAAAGTGGCGGAAAAATACAGCTCTAGCCTCTGAATTGACGTGGGCTATAGATGGCAGACGATGACAGCGAGCTGAACATTTACAATGTACAGCAATCCATCCGATCTCTTTACGACCCACGAAAGTTGGATAGATCTCAATATTTCTCCCACCAGGAAGAGCATGCTCCCAAATTTTGATGCGCAATTCAATTGGGAGATTTACGAATAAATGCATGCTTTGCTGTCTCGTTTCCGCGGATGTTCGACGGATATGAGGTGATAACGAATGTGCTGTAAACTTTGAGGAAGTAGAAGTGCGTCAAAAGAAGGAAATACATGTGAAGCTGATCTGATTTGATGGGGTAGTACACTAACAGGGATTAGCTGCAATCGCCAGCAGTCAGCTTCAGCCTTAGCTTAGCATCTTACCCCTCAGTTGAATCTTTGATTTATTATTATTTGTTTACATATACCTGCTGCCATAAGTAATTACTGCGGAAGGGACTGTGTAATGAGCTTGAAATATCAGGTAGTTCCCTCATGGTTCAATTTTCTCCGACCAAACTTAACCTACAATTAATTGCATCATGTCGAGCTTTCCACAGTTCGCTCTTCTCCCAACCGAGTTACAGCTTCATATATGGAATTTTGCGCTAGAGGTACAAGAAGGACACATTGTCCCCGTACAGAGTTTACGATATGGGCGTCCCAGAAAATTCAAACCGCATACTTTATACTTCGTGAATTGTAATTCACGGAGAACATATCTCGGATATCACAAGAGCAATTTGGCTCGCTACCCGAGGCTGGGGATCGTAGTCTTCGACCCGAGGATAGACATAGTTGTGGTAGAAGTAGGCTGGGTGAAATGGATCAAAAATGCTTTGACCCAAATCAGAGATAGACCAGAGGGCAGAGTTATGAAAGATGTCCGCAATATCGCCATTGCCGTATTCTACGAAGACAGTCTTAGTCACGAGGGGCTGCAAACGCTTCCCAACTCAATCGGAAATACTATAGCAAGAGTGTTACCATCCCTTGAAAACTTCATCTATGACTTCGGATATGATTCCAGAAACTCCTGTTTTGAAAGATTATCTAGAGCCAGTCAAGGGATTGATTATGAACAAGGCTCACAAATTTACATGCAGAGAAAGAATGGAAGACGAGAGGAACTTCTGGTTCAGCCGACACGGGAGATTTTGGAGGAATACAAGCGCAGCGAGAACCCCAAGTGGAACATTCCAAGGGTTGTGTCAACGCTCGATATTTATCGAAAAACAATCGATGTGCGGAGAATTTTGGCAGAATGATAATGGCGCAGGTCTTCAGATTGGTCGGCATGCCGAATGAAAGTCTACTGGCCTTGAAAGAAACGGTAAGATTATTAAAATTGATCTTGGGGTGTTCCTGTTGGCCATCGGATAGGACAACACGGGAACTGGGCAGGGAATGAATAGCATGGTCAGCGAGAAGCCTCATAGCTGGGCTGAATTCAAATGCACTCCAAGGTTGGTACCAAGGTAGCAAGACAAAATTTGGCTGTCATTTTGAAGGTGTCATCAACGGAGATGGGGTAATGAATCTAATGATCATCACTTGAGACACAAATATAATACAATTAAAAGATAACGTGTGTTTGAGTTGAACATGTTCCAGCAAAAAGACGCAAAGAAGGTACTACCATCCAATATGTGAAGAAAATGAAAAACAAAACAAGATGTGAAAGAATTGCGTCGAGTTTCTTGTAGCCTCGAACTCCATAAGGGCCGTGTAAAAATAAAATCTAATTGCATTTTTGATCAATTAACCTTAGCCTCAGGCTCACATCTTATCCGGAACTAAAATTTATGGTGATAAGGACAAACAAAACGATTGATTTGATATTCGGCCAGAAGAAGCAATTTTGCAATTCTATTGCGAAGTCAATCATTAATGAACTCCTAGCCACAGGGATTATTCAAACTCAATACGAGCTGAGAATCGACGCTATACACGACCAAATTCAGCGTCCCGCGTCACCTCCTCCATCATGCCCATTCTTCCATCAATCCACCCCTCCCTTTCCCGCTCTTTCACACGAACTTTCACCTCCACTACTCGCATCTTCGCAAAGTCTACAAAACAAAGGCTAGCAGTCGAGCACGCAGACGTTCCGCCATATCCTTACGGCCCCTCACAATTCTATAAACAATCCAATTTCGGTCTCTACGGTCTCCAGAAGATTCGTTATGGAAATATAGTTTCGGAGAAGAATGAAATTAAGACAAGACGACATTGGCGACCCAACGTGCAGAGGAAGCGTCTCTACAGTCCAAGTCTAGGAAGGCAAATAAAATTGAGAGTCACGACAAAAGTGCTGAGGACGATCGATAAAGCGGGAGGATTGGATGAATATTTATTGGGGGAGAAGACGCAGAGATTAAAGGAATTGGGAATGGGAGGTTGGAAGCTAAGATGGAGGATTATGCAGACGGATACTATCAAGGAGAGATTTAGGGCACAAAGGGAGAAGATGGGATTACCGCCGAAGGAAGAGGTTCATTTGGATGCGCATGGGTTTGGAATCACGAAGGAAGAGATTATGGAGCAAGTCAGGAAATATGATGCAGCTATGACGAGGAACGAGGAGGTCATTATCGATGAAGAGGCTCAAAAAGCTACTGAATCTGAGATTGTGGAGGAAAATTTCATGGCGGAAGAGCAGTATAAGGAGAGAAAGCCAATATTATAGACGTGTAGGTCATGTGGGATCAGGATGTATCAGTATCCGTCATGTATAAGTATATACCCAAAGTAAAACTACGATGCATAACATCAGAAAGCGTCTGAAATCTTCAATGTTCAGTCTTTGATGTTTTGTTCTCATGTCAGTCACAACGACCGCTTCGAAGTGCGAATGCTCCCGGATACTTTCCCTTCTGGACCGACAATCATTCAAGAAATGTGCTTTAACGTTTAAGGTTACCATATCGAATTATTGCCTTCCCAATGATAGGATTCTCACAAGTGCGAGACCATCAGTTTTCAGCGAAAAGGGGGAGGATTGGCATGTGTTGTGTTGCATATTAGGACTCATTCTATCACAGTCATGTCAATATGACTAGACTTTCCCCGCACCCTTCAGCATAAAGTTCTGGGATCAGTGATTCACTTTGCCACATACGAGGAGTCATAGTTTCACGTGATCACCCCCCTTCCCCGACCAACATAAAAGCCGCACAATGGAGTCTCTTATTCTGCTATTGCCAGTATTTAACAGAAACCACTATCATACTCTTTAGAGCCTCACAATGTCAACACCGCCACTCGAAATTCACATTCAAGGTACCTCTCAAGTGCAACTTCCAGCTGAACGTGGCAATTTAGTGGTTGCTGTAACCTCAGAAGGCACCTCACAAACATCGGTTTTCGAGGCAGTCACCCAAGCATCCAATAATCTCCAAGCTCTCTTCAAGCAATTATCCACAAAACCACAACACTCTTCGAATTCTCCCGAGGCTGCAAGTCAAGAGCCTCCAGTAACTATTTACTCCATGGCCAATCTTCGCACGCGCTCCTGGCAGCCTCCAGACTATGATTCTAACGGCGAACCCTGGGCTCGTGTTCACGAAGCATCTTCACATTTTGAAGTCACGTTTCAAGACTTTGAAAACTCGCTGAAGTGGCTAGTTCTATATTCATCATGCCCAACGCAGAGATTCGCTCAGCTGCTTGGTCTTTGACCGAAGAGACAAAAAAGGCCGCTGGGATATTATGGAGGGAACAGGCAATCAAAGATGCGATTAGTAAAGCGGATGATTATGCGAGGGTTCTTGGCAGGGAAGTGGCAGCGGCAGAAGTTAGAGATAACGGGACCAACCTTAAGGCAGTGAAAAGAAAGGGATATGCGGCGATGGTCCCGAGAAGGGGCGTAGGCGCGGATCAGAGGACTTTAGTAGATGGATTGGCTTTGGAGCCGCAGAATGTGGAAATTATTGAGAAGGTTCACGTGGGGTTTGTTAGCGTCGATGGAGTTTAGAAATGTTAAAATTTTGATTACTACGTAACCTAGTTTCGCGGTTTAAACCCGTACCTCTCTCTTGGTCATTGGCTGCATGTCTTTGTATATATTTCGCGAAATTCTTTGTATGTCTCATTATCCCCAAACTCAATTCACAATATTTGATGTTTAGAACTGATATGGCTACCAAGTTTCGTTACCTATATTGTTATTCACTAATTTATCTTCTGTGCATGAGATTACTGTTTCAGAACAGGACATGAAGGAATATATCAGAGAATCAACATCGGAAGTGTGCAGCACTGACTGCACCATGCATCTTCAATCAATGAAGCAATGGCCATATCAATGGCCATGGGCCAGTCTCAGCAGCCCCTTTGAATAATCAAAGCCGACTTCCTTCTCATCAAGATAAGCAGCAGCTGTAATCACGTCAAGATGAATTCCTACTTTTCGCGAAAGCTCGAGTTTACCTCTGGTTAGGTTCAGCATCAGCCACCCCACTTCGTCATATGAACACATCTATCTTTACTTCAGTCATTCAATATCTTCCACTCAGTATATTATGTGTCGTTTGATTGGTAACTGGCATCAAGCTGCCTTCAGACAATTTACATCTCACAATTCCAATGCCTCCATGACGTGTAGCTGCGGGACGAAGACAATCGAGACGATGTTCTATGGCTTCTGGTTAATGAGTCACCGAAGAATATTTGAGGTTGGTACTACCATTGTGTAAAACGATTTACTGCCCGTTGGTTCTCTCTTATATCTGCCCAATACCTCCGGGTAGCTGTAAGAGTATAGAAGTTTTTGACTTTTTGTTAGTCTATTGAAAAGCGTGTAATGTGATATAACTTAGACTTACAATACAGTCGAAATCATGAAAAACGTTAAGGGTTCCTATATATCTGTCGCTACCTGGAGTTTTCAAACCCGCATCTTGACGGCGAGCGCGTTGCATCATCTCAGGTTTCAATTGCATGTTACAAGCTTTAGAAGCCTTAGCTTGTCTACGCATTTAAAATATCAAGCGATAAAAATCAAGAACGTCTATTGCTGCAAAACATCCAGGAGTTCATGCCAGTTTGCATCAACGTCGGGTCGAGGGTATCCTAAAAACGGGCCATGGTCTACATCGGTCCCGGTGTATGTTTGTTCTTGCTATGTCTCTTATCAAGGGTAGGAGATATTTTGATATCAGTCAGTGGACAACTCCCACGGCTAGTGCTAGGGTTAACAAATCTCTCACAATGGTTCCATGGGGACTTTGAAAAGCTGAGAATTTGTGACTATCAAAAGAATAGTTGCGTTATGAAATAAGAAAACAAGACTGTTTAGCTGAATAATACTAGATTATTGGCTGAGCCATGGTTCTCGGCATTTGGTATATTGATTCCCGTTCTCTAGTAGAGTGAAATCTGAAGATACTGTATTGTTGCAGTCATTCGTCTATTCTTCTGATAAGCTTGGTCCGGAGTGATATGTCTCAAAGCTTCTCAAGCTTTTTGCGACAAGAAATGTATGATTGGAAGAGTACAGAAGTTTGATGGCGGAGAAAACAGTAGTTTGGAACAGTGTGAAAGGGCGAATAACGAACAATTTCAATCTTTACGTTCGATTTTTCTGAAATCTTTCAATGGCTAGCCTGTCAATTGACTTCCATGAATTGCATGAGAGAAGCGTTGAATTATCAGTTTCTGATCATCCTATCTCAATCATCAGCAGTCAATGGATCTCGAACGGCAGTACGCCACCAAAGGTACGACAAAACTTCATGCTCACTGCATCGGTAGACGTGAGATCAGCTACGGATGAAAAGCCTTTAGTACAACGTCTTGGAGAATTAAGGATTGCCGGATGATGCTGTGCGACGTGAACTTATTCCAGTTCATCGTGATTGACTTCAGGCAATCCTGTCACATCCACGAGAATTCGGATAATTAATGTATTTACTCCGATGGAAGTGTCACTAGTCTGTTTCTTTTCCTTCGAGAAGTGTCACACCAGCTACCGATAGTTGTATGGGGAGTATTATGTGGTTCAAGCCAAGACTTTGACGAGTGACCATGTACTTGGCCAGGCACCCGAAGATGATGCATCCTCACGTCGTACATTTGGTTGGACATCCACGGACGTCGCTGTTAAGTTCAAAAAGGAAAATTAATCAATAGCAGATGTTGGCATTCAAGAATGTTTTCCATCACACCTCAAATCTCGCGCAGTGCAACATTCTGGCGCATTCGCACTTCACGTGAACTTATTCATCACTACAAAATTGTGCATCCAATATCAATTGTATGTGTGACTGTTTACTGGAGGTTGCAGTTGTGTCTCAACGTAATAATCAATGTTGTATAGATAGAGTGTCTTTTACCCATGCGCATTTGGTGTAGACGGCAGATAAAACCCAGTTTTAAAAATACCCTTGAAAAACTCAGTCTTATCAAGTTAGCCAGTATGTAAAATCAGAAAAATTCAAGTCAATGGAATACATTAACTTTCATCTCTTATCAGTGTCAAGCACAAATATATAAAAGGGGGAGATCCTACCCTATATCAATCTCCATCATCATTATCATACCCTCCACATCACATCATCCCACTTCATCACCTAGTGTGCTACCTTCGACAAGCTCAAAATATCTCAACAACAAAGCTCTCGCTTTCCCACAGGTTGGTACCATTTCTTTTTTGAAGAGTAGTGGCTTCTAATTGCCATACCTCATATCATGTATGTGACATGGAAGCAGGAATGGATTTTGTTGCAAGCGACTCGAAGTAATTGTTGTTTAAGCTCTAGAATATCAAGTGCACGTAATCAAAGTCCGAAGGCTGATACTTGATCAAGATGGAGTCTATCTTGTTTGGACACAAATCAAAAAGTAACATTTTATTCTAAATTCGAGATATGATTACTTACATTTGCAGAAATGTAACAAAAAAAGAAAATTTAAACGTATAAATGACTGGCTGACATAATGACTAGAATTATAAATGTGCAAGAGGAGAACTAGAGAAATCGAACGAATTTATAGAGACGCAATGGGAAGAGAGGAGGTAGAAAATATGATGCCCACGAGAAGAGATTTGACGCAAGAAGTGGTATTCGAACTCATACCTGGAAACAATGGACTAAAGCATTGATGCAATGCGTAATTCTTTCTCAGCTCAGCAGACAAAGATTGGAGTAAGCTCACCCGATCATACGACAAAGGGGTCGAATATCATGAAGTTAGTCATACATCATCAGCATCCATCAGAATATCTCCGGAGACCAAGATGCATACTAATCAGCATAGAGTCTTGGAACACCAATGTGGGTCGGTGAAATTTTATTGTCAGCGCAAGACAGACCAAGGGGGAAGACAACTCAATGATTACTGTAGTCGGCGATGTTCTAATTTGAGATTTGAGGATTTTTCGAAGGTATTCTGAGATTTTGAAAGTAAGACCCCAACTTAATATCTCCCGCCAAGTCTGTTCAAACAGATTGCCGATGATGTTCAGCTCTTCATCGATCGTCCTGCTGTCAGGCCATTGCCAAAAAGTCACAAACAGATGACAAGAGTGTCTTGTGTGTCGGCACGTGCAACCCCTAACAACAATGAGTAAAATTATGCCGTCCGTACCAGGTACGCAGACGAGATAAGTATCTTGGGTATTCATAACATGACTTTCATATAATTTAAGCTTAACATGTAAAGAATCCTATGAGAAGGCGCATACCAAACAAGAATGGAATGTTTTCAAAAATTTAGGATCTGGGATTTTCTCATTTCCGGAGTTACATTTTGGGTTAAAAATGGATAGCAACGGATTACTTAAGACATGAGAACCCCTGGTGAAGGTTGCATCTGTAGTGTAACCAACCTTGGAACCTGGAACCTACTGATTTTATCATATGTGGCTGAGCGGCAAAGTCGTGCCACATGAAAGTGGGGTATCTCAATATCAACCTCATCTAAGACACCTCCTTCTGGATATCTTTTTCACATGGTAACATTATGTATGCTTGTTTGGAACAATGTCACCTTGAGCCTGCCAAAAAAGAGCATCACTACAGGATTGTAAGTGGAAGGCACCAATCATAGTACTACTAGATATATATCACACCTATACGTCTAGTGTCATGCCACCGGTACCTTGAGAACACCATGACCAGAGGATTGTCAAGTGGAGTCACCAACCAATTGTGTCCGCTATCATTTTTTATGGTTTGAATCATCATAGCATTAATGTTTTTGTCTATTTCCCTAACCCTAACCTATATCCAGAAGAAGGAAAAAAACCAAAGAAGCGCCATCCTACCCTCCCAACCTTGACAAACAAAAGAAAGTAGTAAGGTGAACAAGTATCTTTGGAGCTTGAGTAACCCTGTTCTATCTTGGCGTTGAATGAACGAGAAAAGTATACCACAATCTAATCTATTTTGTGGCCAATAGTCTATCCTTCAACATCTTATCCAGAGGCGCAATAGCAGACTCGTAATCATGAACATCATCCTTCTCCAACACAGACTTTCCAGCTGTCATGATCATACGCTCTGGAGCGGGTACACTCAAGTATGGCTTGACCCTGACTCTGTGTGCCGTTCTGAAAACTCTCATTTGCTTGACAATGTTGTTCATTTGTTCCTCGATCTCATCATCTCCCTTTGTCTTAGCCTCATCGCGGAAGCTATGCTCAGCGATTGTTTCACGGAATCTGCGTTGTAGGTTTGGCATGTAGCGTTGTGTATTCTCCTCGTTCAAGTATCTCTCGAGTCCTAAGAAAGCATCCATGATCTGTGGTAACAACAGTTGATTGCCTGAGAGACCGTCGTATTCGGTGTATTCCCCGGTGACAGGGTCAATATCACCTGCAGCCCAGCCTTGAAATCCTTGTGCATAATGCATCCAAACTTTTCGCGAAATCTTGGATTCATGCATGGTTTCATAATAGGTCTTGAGGGGTGTGCGTAATTCCTTGTTGATTCCTTTGAGCGATTGTAGGGTGCCAATACGGTCGCCGTGGGAATATTGTTGGATAGCTCTAGTTACCATATGGTAGATTGGGAGAGCTTCTCTTTCAATGTGAGGAAAAACATGGCCAAAGTGGTATTCGGCAGATTGAATGAGATCGTCCATTGTAGGATTGATCGGGTAGACAATCTGATCTTTATCATCAAAGTTGCAGAGGTAGTTACTTGCGACATTACCACCTTGAGATGTAACACCGTATCGTCTCTTGAGGTATGGCCATGCGAGGTCGAGACAGGCAGGGAATTCAACGACTTTTTCTTCCTGAGCAAGTTTGACTATGGGGATTGTTCCCCATCTTTGCAATGTTAGCGAATACTTCATTTTTTGGGCGACATAGAATAATGGTACTTACCGGAAAGAGTGTCTGGACAAGGCAATACAAGCGAAGAGACCATTCCAAGCTGCCCGTGATAGAACGCTCTCGTCGTTTTCTGCTGCATCTAAGAGGGCCTTTACTTGTTCCATGTTGACTTGATCATTATAAAGTGTTCTCATCTGTACACGGAAGTCCAAGCATCGTTGAAAGTTCTTGACATCATCGCCACTGAGTTCTGCGATTGATAGAGCAGGTGCCATAGCTTGATAGATGTCGTGGAATGGTCGAAGGACCTCTGGCCAAGCATCACCATATACAGTTGTAGGCGGCCATGTTCCGGCTCCATCGATCTCGATTAGATCTCGAAGTGATTTTTGGGCAGCATGAGGCTCGTAAGTAGCGATCTTCTCCACAGTCGCATAGGCATCACCAGCTTGGGATTTTTGTTGATTCGATCTTCCAAGGATAGCTTTGCGATAGAGATTGAGGAAAAGGCCAAAGATGGCGACAGGAAATAGATAGAGAATGGATAAATGAGTATTTGCTATGATCAAATCTAAGTTCAACATCTTGAAGAGATTGGTAGGATAATTGGGATGAGAAACCCGAGAATATTGCTTCAAGAGAATGCTTTATGTTCGAAAGATGTGAATGACTCGAGGCTTGATGCTTTATAGACAATGATGGTTGTTAGAAGCTTGTTGGATGTGGATGGTGTTACTTCGAAGGAGGATGAGGGGATATTTATGGATGTCTCAATAATCTCACATTGCTGGAACCATAAGGCTATACTCCTATTCCGCCATTACTGAGTTACCATTGAGATGTCAACTTCTACCGGATTTGGCTAGCAGGAGTCATGATTGGAATTCCATCACAGTATCATTCTATTCCTACGGAGAAGAGTGCACTATTCTGAAATCTCCTGTATCGAGTGTTACGATGTACCATGCTTGGCGATGTAGTATCAAATCGTTCCCACTCCGATGCTACCTAAAACGGCTGGCTCATTCGCTTGATTTGTCTCCATAATTTAATTCTCCTGAAATCCTAAAGACGCATGGCAGAAAAGCTTTCCGTAACTACGGTGCGGAATCTAGCGTATCCACTTTTCTTCGTTATTAGATTGCCAAATTGGGTAATATGAACCTAGAAGGTTTATAGCCTTACAGGATGAAGCGAACCTATCAAGAAAAGCCCGGCTACAGAGTACATTTTAATGAAATAGAGATATAATACTAACTCCGGTACGCGCTTACTTTGATATGGCATCATTCAGCGAACTATACCAAGAAAAATCATCGGTGCGTTTTGTGTTTGGTTGACTTGACGATCACATGCATGGGACTAAGACTTTTGAGATAATGTCTTGTTCCTGCGAATACATGATTAACAAAGTATTCTATTCCGGCCGTGGAGATACCCAATGCAGATCACCCAAAGAAGCAGGAAAATGCATACCGCGGAGAACGTTTACTTACTCAAGCGTTTGGAAACCTTAGTTTATTCTGAGACGAACACATAGGATGTTTGTGAGTCGAACTCCTGGGTCACCGCACAATAAGTGATACAATACTTGATGACACTTCTGGGCAGTGTAGGAGATCTGACATGAAGGCCGTTCGCAATATTCGTATTCCTGCAAGTTAGATGTCGCGAGTGTGGCGACAGGATCCCAGTGTCCAAACAGCTCGTAGGAATAAGAGATTTGAGACCGACTACTGCCAGTCAGAAAGTTCTATATCTTGCAGATCACATCTTGAGGCTCATTGCATTAGACTGATGGATTGATGGGGGATTGCGGGAAAGTTCCCAGTAAGACTCAAGAGCCATTGTGTTTTCCGGCAGTGCTGGATCAATGTAAGATTATACTGCCGCGGACATTGTTCAAATCGTGAATTGTCAGGACAGTAATGATGAGAAGGATTACGATAGCATTGGTCTCTGTTGATGAGTCAATTACTTGGAATTTCTCGTCATCTCATCTCAGCATGTCACCTTATATTTTGGCATTACGAGATGATCAATGCCAATTCAAGATACGCGTGCATGTCTTCTTGCAGTCTTGAATTGATTAAAATGCTTGTATCAACACCGTTCATTTGGTTCAGTCGTGGTTTTCACGTTTTCTCGTGGCAGAATGTACCCCGAGGATGATTAGGTTGGTTACACCTGTTTGTTTAAGGTTTTAAGGTTAAGAAGCTGACTACAAAATCCATTTCATTGTGCAACTTTAATTCTTCATGGTTCAAAATTCGACCTTTTAGAGCCCTACAGGGCTCAAAAGTCTCCTACTCTATTAGAGAAAGAAAAACATGGAATGTTGTAACGTCCTTCTCCACGGAAGTGCATTAAAATGTTTCCGCACTGCCCCAACCCACAGTTTCAGATGTAGTTGATGTGTACTATTTCTGCAATGTTATTTGATATAAAATTGAGTGCTTTTAAATCAGTATCAATAGTAGAATAACCCCAGGAATCTATTAAACCACTGATCCGGAGATACAAATTACGAAATCTTACCCCCGGTTTACAAAGGAGTCGTGAGCACGGGGATTGCGGGGGTTCTTACCAGTTCGCCCGTTGAAGAATCGAAGAATCGAAGAAGCCTCCGCGGAAGAAGCAGGCTGGATAATATCAGTGCAATCTACAATTCCGCAAACCCCTCTGGTCATAATGACTGCTTATTTACTCAGCATTTATTGGCATTTTGGTGAGATGTCAGATATAAGTGGGGTTTGGCGAGGCCGGAGATCTGGCTTCGGCTAGCATGACGTTGGCATGGAAGAGAAGTAGAATTGAAACGCATAGTCAGCAGTGCGGAAAAGAGCCGAGTTCATTTTGATGAAGGCCCAGACTGTAAACATGTGTATATATATGTTCAAGTCTTCAAAAGGAACACAGATTCTATATCTCCATTCAGTTGTGTATTCTCCAACTGTTATACTTTGCTCAATTTGTTATTTTCTCCGGCAGCAGCCAAAATGAATGCTCTAAACGGAACTACGAAGATTGTCGAAGTAGACACACCTGTGTCTAGGTTTGGACAATACTTGACGGGCCCGAGCTTGGCCGGTGGTCTTGCTATTGCCTTTCTTGTACCATTCATATACCAGATTGTCTATTACAGATATTTCCATCCTCTCAAAGATTTTGATGGTCCCTTCTGGGGATCAGTAACCAGACTTTGGCACACATATCAGAACATCAGGGGAATCGAATTGGAAACTTATGACCGCCTGCTCAAGGAGAAAAATAGTGTGTACAACTTGTGACCCGAACATATAATCTTTCAGTTCTAATCCAGTCATAGCAAATATTCTTCGAATATCACCAACTGAGCTGTTGATCCCATCAGCTCTCTCCCTCCCTCAAATCTACCATCGTCAAGCTGTTAAGACAAAATGGTACGTTACTGGTGCACTTGGTCCAGGAGAATCAGTCTTCAATATGCAACAACATTCGCACCATGCTCACTTCCGTCGATTAATCGCTGGACCATACTCGATGTCTAAGATGGTCAAGAATGAACCTCTCATTAACGACATTATCATTGCTTGGATCAGAAAATTGAATGATATGTTTGCTCAACAAAACAAAGCTTTTGATATGTCAAGATGGGCAACCTTTGCCGCATTCGATGTCATCAGCTTGGTTGGGTTTGGAGAAGCTTTTGGATTCGTGGATACTGCTACTGACGTTGATGATTTGATTGAAGAACTCCATAAAGGATTTTTTTACTTTGGAATTGTTGGCAGAATGTACCCCTTCGTTGAGTTTATCAAGAAGACTTGGCTTGGACGATTCCTTGTCTCGAGTGAAAAGGATAAGGGAGGAATGGGGTTCTTAATTAGATGGACGAACAGAATCATGAAAGCTAGACAAAAGGAACTTGCTGAGGGAGGAAAAGACAAAGGCAGAGTTGACTTGCTACAATCGTATGACAACCCACTCTTGTTTGTCTTAGAGAAGGCTAACAAATTAGATTCTATGAGGCTCGCGATGCCCAAGGGCAACCACTCACCGAAGATCACATCCGAGCCGAATGTATGTTATTATTCACAGCCGGTGCCGATACTACCGGAACAACCATGGGAGCAATGATGGCCTACCTTCTTTCTAACCCTACAGTATACGCCAAAATGGTGGCTGAGATTGACGCCGCTTTCGACAGCGGTGCATTATCTACACCTGTCCCGGCTGCGGCAGAAGTTTCCAAGAACTGCCCATACTACGTTGCTTGTGTCAAAGAATCCTTACGCTTATGTCCTTCGGCTCCTAACATCTTCCCTCGTCTCGTCCAAGCTGATCATGCTCCACTTGTAATCGATGGAAAAATCATTCCAGTTGGAACTGAAGTTACCAGCACTGCTTACATGGCGAACCGTGATCCGGCAGTTTATGGAAAAGATGCAGACGAATTCAGACCCGAAAGGTGGTTGGAAAACAATGGAGAAGCTGGTAAAGTATTTGATAAATATCTTGCTACTTTTGGATATGGTACTCGAAGTTGCTTGGGTAAGGATCTTGCAATGATTGAATTGATGAAGACTCCTTTGATGGTGAGTAATTCTGACTCCCGACGCGTTAGTTACCTGTCTGGGCCATTACTAACAATGAACAGTTTTTCCGAGCATTCAATCCACGACTGTGCCTCCCCAGCAAAGAAACTCCATCCCCAAAACGTATTCTGGTTGGCGCTATGTTTTATTGGGATGATATTTGGATGAAGCTTGAAAAAAGAGATATTCCTGGATTCACTTGGTGAGATTACCAGAAGGAAGGAATGGAAATGGGATTTACGACGAACGTACGAGTAAATAAGTTTTGAATATTAGAAATCAAGCTAAGATTGAATTTGCATAACTATACGATTGGTTTTCTCTGGGATCTTTATCAGCCCCTTGCAGTCTTAGTCGTAAGGGAATTTAACTCGATTATGTCAACTCCTGCATTACAACATTATAAATAGCACGTTATGTGAACTAGCATGACATGAATACCACCCACACCGAAATAAAACGTGCCCTTTTACCCAGAACCAATTCTAACTTCTGTGCCATACAGTAACCTTATGTATGATTTATGCAACGGCGATACCGCATCAACAATTTAATGTCGTGCCAAGTACGAGATATAGTTGAAGGATTCAAGAACACGGGCAACCGGCATAACCTTATTGAAAAGCGAAGATAAAGAATACATGATCCTTCTTTCAATGACAGCCAAATAATGTCGAGCAATCATACGGCCACTCTGTGGAGTGTAAAGTGTAATGCGATTATTGACTCCAACATTCGAGAGCTTGACCGTCGAGACCATTCAGAAATATACCGCAATCCACAAAAAGTCCCGAGGTCGATAAAGTAAGTGGTGCCACGAGCCGTGGGGACAGTTGTGGAGGCTTCCAAGGTTCCTTCGGTTGGAAGCACGGGTAATACAGTAGATATGTAGCGTAGTACTCGGGTTCCAACGGCCCCAGCATTCGCTAAGTGAGTTCAATGCCCCCTGGAATATTTGAATGGCGTGATTTTGCACATGAGGGAAGAATTGTTTCCCTGAAATTTCTTGCCATACTTATTAGCCAGGTCTTGTTCCATCGATCTCAGAAATCTTCACCGGTACCAGAATTCGATAAGAGGGAGAAAAGAAGTGGTGATTTACATCTCCTTAATAGAATAGCCGCAGACCAATTTCCGAGACCATGTCGTTGTATCAAAACTAATCATGATCAGGTTAAAGCGTGCATCAGGGGGTCGATCTGGTAATCTGGAGTAACATCATGGGACGAATTTGTGGATAGATCAACAAATTTCACCAGATTTAGAAGTTCCCGCGCTTTTGTTTCATTTTAAATAATTTCAATAGTGACAACGAGAACGAATGATAATTAGCCACTTTTTCGTGGCATACAAACTCAATTGCATGTTTTGTGGTGAAGGATTACAAGTACTTCCACTCACCATGCATCCATTTTTGTTGTTGACTCCTTCTCTTGTGTTGTTGTATCGAATGTCGCCGACCACAACATCTAATAATCACATTAGTGGCAATTGTGGACTCGGAACTTCTTCTGCTAAATTTTATTGGCTCACCCGGGCAATCGTTGCGCGCTTTCAATCAATCCTCATCCTTCAGAATTCGATATCCCACAACTTGCTTACAATTCCTAAATTCCAAATATCCTATCTGCTGTGTAACCATGTTGTGGGAGCGAACTACTGCGTAAGTCGTATCATTTGATCCCTGATACGTTGAAAATGTGCTGATGTTTGAATAGATTTGTGGCTGGGGTTTTATCTTCGGCCACAGGCCTTGAACATCCCAAATTATCGACACGTACGACGGGTACAATTGATGATTACTTGACGACTCAAAGTCCGATCTCCCTTCAGGGTATCCTAAATAACATCGGTCCCGACGGCTCTAAGGCTCAGGGTGCGAGTGCCGGAATTGTTGTTGCAAGCCCAAGTACAGTTGATCCTAATTGTGAGTCAACCGACACCCTAAGCTCGGGAGGTAACACTGACACCAACCCCGATTAGACTTTTACACTTGGACTCGGGATTCGGCGTTGACTTTCAAATATCTTATTGATACTGGCAATTCAAGCCTCCAAACTCTTATTGAAGATTATGTTACTGCTCAAGCAAAACTACAAACCGTTGAGAATCCATCTGGAGACTTGGCGACCGGCGCAGGTTTGGCAGAACCAAAATATTACACCAATGAAACTGCATTCTTAGGTGAATGGGGACGCCCTCAACGTGATGGGCCAGCTTTACGTGCCATAGCTTTGATTTCATTCGGTAACGATCGCCTTACCTTGGGACAAAACGATACTGTCAAGAATATTATCTGGCCAATTGTTCGAAACGATTTGGCATATGTTTCTCAGTATTGGAACTTCTCCGGCTTTGATTTATGGGAAGAAGTTAATGGATCATCTTTTTTCACCACCGCGGTTCAACATCGAGCATTGGTAGAAGGAGCAAAATTCGCCACCTCCCTCGGAGAATCATGTAACGACTGCGAGGAGCAGGCCCCCGAGGTTCTTTGCATGCTACAGGATTATTGGAATGGAACTAGCATCGACTCGAACATTCAAGTGCAATCAACAACTTACGATCGTTCCGGATTGGATTGTAATTCAATATTGACTTCGATACATACTTTTGATTCCGATCCAGCTGTGGGATGTGATTCTACAACTTTCCAGCCTTGTTCAGACCGCGCTCTTGCAAACCATAAAGTATTGGTCGATTCTTTCCGCTCCATTTATACTATAAACTCAAATGCTTCAACAGGACAAGCTGCAGCTATCGGACGCTATGCTGAGGATGTTTATCAAGGAGGAAATCCATGGTATATATGCACATACGCTGCAGCAGAACAACTTTATGATGCTCTATGGACATATAACAGCACAGAAAGCATTACCGTAACCGACATTAGCCATGAATTTTTCACAGACTTAGTCCCCGGAATACAGACAGGTACTTTCGCAAGCGATTCGAGCCAATTTAAGGACGTAATCAAGGCTCTGCAAGACTATGCAGATGGTTTTGTATCGATCGCCGCAACATACACACCAGAAGACGGAGCACTAGCCGAACAGTTCTCTCGCGAAAATGGTACCGCTCTGAGTGCAGTAGACCTTACATGGTCTTATGCGTCTTTCCTCACCATGCAACGAGCCAGAGAGGGAAATTTTGGTCCTAGTTGGGGAGCTGCATCTGCTATTGCTAAAGGAGTGCCGGATAAATGCTCCGGTGGTGGTGTCAAGGGGACTTATTCTACACCATCAGCAGTTTCATTCCCTCAAAGTGAAGAGGGAACTTTTGGAACGAAAAGCGGTTCGAGTAGTGACGCGGGAGCCGGAACTGGAACAATCACTGGTAGTGCCGCTAGTGCGACGACATCAAAGAGCGCTGGGAATAGACTTATGCCTATTGGTTTCTTTTTTCGTTAGTGTGAGATAGATATTTACCAGACTCGGTTCAGGCAGGGAGTGCTGTGGTCTTGGTGAGGTGTCTCCGCGGAAGTGTTGTACAGTTTTATTATGATTTCAATGGCCTGCGACGTGTGTATATATCATGTGTACCAATGAATGGGGGTATTGACTAATGGCAGAGATGAGAAACATGGATTTAAACATGGTTAAATAATATTAATCTCGAATGGTTCTCCGTCTAATTGACATCGCCACACCGTGCATGCATCCATTACCATAAACTCTATTGCCACGCGATTTGTGTTTGAGTCGATGATACAACACTCCTAATGTTCATTTGGAATCTGTTAAGCTGTTCATTGTTGGGAGACGCCGCAGGATAGGGGGTTTTCTTTCGAGATGTCATATTCATTAGTATAGGGCGTTAGATATGGGATTCTCCGCGGTGGCATTCTCAGCGCAGGGCTCAAGGTAAGAGCACCTTTTTGTGCGTCAAATGGATTCTGATGTGATTGCGATCAATCTACCTGTATGTAGATTAACTGACTGAAAAGTTTTATATGTCATCTTGAGATCGATCTCTGCTTTCCTAAAAGTGAGAAACCACCAAAAGCGATGGTGTGTGAGTATAACCTTGTTATCAGCCCTGATGAGACAATGTCTATAATGAGAAGAGATCTCCTTCATTAATGAATGTACTAAAAGGAGTATTCTGCCGCCGAAGACGTGCACTCAAAAGAAGTAGAAAATCGAACGAAAATCCTGATTGGATTTAACAAGTCACTTTAATCGATTGTCAGATCGGTCAGTTGGTCACTTGGGATTTGCATGCGAGATCCTGGGTTTGAATTATTTTAGGGGTACTATATTGCTTCCCAGCACCTCATTGTTAGAGGGTGGCCCGGAGACACGGCCAATCATGAGAATACGAATCTCGAGAATGCAATGTAATAAGGAATCAATAAGTTCTGTTATCAAGAAAGCGAATCATGATGTAGTTGGAAAGTAGAGTGAACAAAACCTCGCAGCTATGCTTATCCGGTATTTGCAGAGTGAGATCAATTCGCGGGGCAGTCACTGAAGAGGAGGAAGTCCTAGGTACAGAATTTGAGGCTAGTTGAGATGCTTAGTCTCTTTGGAATCTCCCTTCTCTTAATTTTGAAGAAAGAAACTATTCAACACTTATCCCCAAGCCCGATGTCGAGACGAATGAATGTATTGACTTGGCTTGACTACTCCCGTCATGATAGATATGTTCGCAACGCGACATTGACAAATGTTTACACATGAAGGGACTAACTATTAGCCACGTTTCTATTTTCTTACAAGACATTGAGAAGTGAGATGCAAGCGCCAGAAAATACTCGTTACTTCCACGTATTTGTATCAAATTCATTGAATAGTACTTACCTCCGTCCTAAATAATACTGTTGGCATGATAATTTTCAATGATGATAACATCGATGGGAATACTAAACTGCCGGGTCGGCAGAACAGTATGCTTCAAGGAGTATAAAATTCCTAAACGATGGTGTGATCAAGGAGGAAGGCAACATGAGTCTTGTATTGAGCTCTACGGAATGATTTGGAGAGCCCTTTCAGAAGTCAAAAAGAAATCTAGTAAAATGATTCCGAAGGATGACGGATTCTATCAAGATGGATATGGAGACGTGTACGAGACTCAAGGATATGGCGAGTTTGGTGAAAAGATTAAAAGACTCTCAGTTCAACCGCAATGGGGATTTGGAGTTGGTAGAGTGGTGAAGTGTGTCTGGCTGGCATTGGTGACCCTCACTTGGAAGAATTAGAAAACAAGTCTTGATCAATCTGTGGGGGAATGGAATATTTTGAGAGCACCGCATGAATTTCTTTTTTGTTTTTACGACGGCAGATGGATAGTGGTTTCTCTTGATATACCAAGTATGTTCTTGCTTCCCTGGGAAAATTCATCTGAAGAATAAGCAGACTCAATGAATCTCTTGCTGCTTTGGATCGACCATATCTGGAAGACCAATATCATTCATTGGAGACACAAATTGATGGTTATGTCAACCTCTAGATGCCCTGGAAAGAGTTGAGAGTTAACGTTGGCAATGCACACAGATTTCTGCTTCACTCGTGTAGGTAACCTTACTCACGTCACGTCTGAACATACCTTACTGAAGGTCAAAGTAAGGTTACATTCCACCTACCCCATTCGTGCAAACATTCGTGCAAAGGGGTAATATTACAATGTAAGGGGTCACCAGTGGGTGCACGGACTCACGGGACAGTCTGTATAGCTTCAAAAAACCCAAAATGAGATAATATTACGACTAAATAGCTAATAACTATTACAATTTTGATCGTACACAGCTCCCATTTGTATCAATTATAGTCCTACATCTACCGGGTAGTTTTATATATCTTTTTTGAATTTCCTCCTGCGTAATCTTGTTCCATTCGTCCTACATAACCTCCTTTAATTTATTCAATATTTTCCACTATCTTTTCCAAACTTATTGTTTTAATATATTCCAAATACTCTCTATTGAATTCAGATCAAATGAATTAGGGGGATGAGGTAGATTTTCGATATTGTATACATCCCTAAGCTCTTATGCAAAACCATATTTAACAAAACCATGGGAACCATTATTATTCTCTATTAAAAGCCATTTATGTGTAGAATCTTTTGCCCATAGCCTCTCAATTGCTTTTATATAAACTAGGAGTAGTCGTTTAATATAGTATTCCTGGGTTATAGCATTGCCCTAAGGCTTGATATCCTTGGGATGCAGCTTTTTAGCTTTTTATATACGGATACGCTTCTCATAGAAATTACAACTTTCAGTTTTGAGATGTATCCTAAACTTAGATTCAGGCTTAGGTTTATTTGTATATTCCTCTTCGTCGTAATAGAATTCAAGATTTTCAGCTTTTTCCTCGAAAGTGATTTATACTCCACAATGGATTTTATTACTCTCTAATGAGGGGTATTCCATTATGTTTTTTGGTTTATATCAAGTTCCAGCTTTTCTTAGAATCTCTTCTTTCCTTATAAAAGCAGGATCCATATGTATTTCGTCTGTATGTACAATATATTTCCAAAATCCTTTTATAATGTTATATTTATGCATATTACCGAATATAACGCGTTTCCCACGCTATCGACTATCAATACGCTTTTCTGAATAGGTAGCTTTGTAGTGCTAACCTTGATTTATAAATCTCTTCAAATTCTTTTGTAAAGAGCATTGTTTAACCCTTAATTTGAAGTGTTCAATTATTACTTTGTAAGGTTTGATTTGTAGCTTATTTCAGAAGGGTGAAACAAGCATCTTGTAAGTAACCTTATCGATTGATATAGGTCCCCCTAGATTCTTTGAAAGCTTGCAAGTTTGCTTATAGGTTTACCTTTCTAATATATCTTTTTCTTAAAGCCATCGATGACTTATAGAGCTTAGTATATCTAATCAGGTGGAAATGGAGCGTATACTTTCTTTTGCACAGCATCAATCGAATTCACCAAAAAAGTACGATTTTTTCGGTGAATTATATTCTTTATATAATTCTCTATTAATAGGAGTAGTCTTATATTTAATTGATCGTGTATTGGGTGGCATTTTGAAGTTGAATTGATTATGTATATTTTGAATTATTTATTTTGAGGCTATTTTCAAAAAACGCGTGTCCCGTGAGTCCGTGCACCCACTGGTGGGTCGATCTTACTTTGTTTCGGAGAGGATCTATGAACTGGATATGTACATGAAAGCGGGATATGTGTGATTCCTGCAGTAACTCTTCGCTCAGTGTTACGTCAATAACATTTGAAATCCGTTTACAAAACGAGGTTGAAGGCGTTTCCAGCTGTGGCAATTACCCCGCCATGATTACCCCGCACTTCAATTGCAACAATTACCACTTATCACCACGGACACCAACACCACCGCAACACAGACTAACTGACGTCCTTTAAACTGAACCCGAATCTTTGCTGCATCATTTTGGCACCTTTGACATGATGGATTCAACACTTCCGAGTCTCGTCATATCAATTCCCGTATCGAATCGTCGCCGCGAAACAATACGACACGCATGTCAAAGTCGCGTTCGAATGCTATCGGCTTTCCACAAACCTCCAACAGAGAGTCTGCTATCTGCGGCATCGACAATTCCTTCGCAAACACTGGCATATGGTGATAGATCATGACGTGCTCCCACATGTAAGGCGATTATGGGCATCTATATTCGGGCCCAGGCGACCAGATAATTTGGGCAGGGTCGGGGTAGTCGCGATGGTGATTGGGACAAAAGTATTTGATGCTACATCCTCACATGGAGGCTTTGCTTGCACTGACACGTAGTCTTCAAGAAGTTAAGGTTTGAACGGTATGGCTCTCATTTCCAGCAATGCTTCTGGCCGAGCTTGTCAATATGTGAGCAACATGCGCTCGTAGCTTACGCATATAACCCTACCCTATCAGTGCGGTCCTTCATCGCAGTCAGTTAACCATTTCGATGCAAAATGAATAATATGAAGTACTCCTTCAAATTTATGAATTCACCGCTAAACGAACGAGTTTCTCTTCAAGCCAGTTGCGATGACTTACCCCCAACCGGTTCCCGTTCTTCCGATTTCCCGAACCTTCATAATTCGACTTAGAAAAACGCGTTCAAGTAAGACTGAGGCTATAACACTTGCAGGAAGCTTGATAACGGCTGACCGAAGTATCTGAATCTTGCGCTATCCCAGGTCCGCGTGGGGAAAGAAGTCACTGCAGAAAGAATTTTGTATCTGTCACAATCGAGATCATCGACTCTCATCACCCTCAGCATCAAACACGTAGATTGGCAATTTCTTGGATATATTTGATAGCGACAAAAATGATGAATACATGGACTGCAGGCATGCTTTTTTGGCAAGCAGCGATATTATACCCAAGTTCTCATAATTCGAAGGTAGTGAGATATGATTGTCTTTTGACATGAATGGGGAGGACAGATCGCCTCGGGTACGAAGATGTTAGGGTGGTAAAAATGCAACGATATTTTGTATGTGTGAACTTTAGTCGATCATAATAAACCTAAGCTCCTATACTCGTCTCAACTGTAGTGATGAGAGAAACATATCTTGAGATTGTATTAGTCGACCTGAAAAGACGAGACGTAGACTCTGCTGTCGGAGGGAATGCCTGACAAATATGAAGACCATGTTAAAACGGAGACGTTGAACAGGCTTGTTTGTAGTGAAACTGTAGTAACACTGACATGTAGGATCAACACTACGTAGGCAACATCAAATCTCATACTCGCGCAAATGTAGTGAGAGTTGAGGCCCCGGCTTGTCGCACATCACCCATTTTTCGGTCTAATTTTTTAAAATTTAATGATAAATCAACCACACAATATAATCTTATAAAATTTGATTATTATATTAATGAATAATAGCTAATCCTCGTACTTCAATTACATCTTCAATCTTGCAAGTCAATCTCTCAGTATATGGCTTGAAATCTAAGGGATCCACCCTATCCCAGAGAGCTTGCAATTCACGTTTCAATTCCTTTATGGAAGTAGGTACAAATGGTAGCTTTTTTAGTTCCTCTTTCATCCATCGCCATACTTTCTCAATTAGATTAAGATCCGGAGAGGAGGGTGGCCAATCAAAGCCTTGTACACCATGCTCCAATCGAGCTCTACGGGCATGCCCGGAATGCACCTTAGAACCGTCCTCCATGAATATATATTCAGGTCCTAGCTCGTCGAATAGTGGGAATACAATAGGCTTAAGGACTTGTTGCATATATGCTTTGGAGGTGATGCCTTTGTTGTCCTCAAGCCTTTCCAAGAAGATCAATGGAGATTTATAATTCCAGCCGATCGCACCCCATATCATCACCGACACCGTTCCTAATCGATACACTAATTTAATGCAACCAGTGCATCTCTTTTCATCAACCCGTCTAGTAACCCATATCCTACCCGCTTTTCCCAGTTCGAAAGTGCTTTCGTCCGACCATATAACTAGCCTCCAATCCCCCCCTCCTAGCCTAGCGGCAGCGGCATCACTAGTTCCCCACCAGCGATGCCTATACGCAAAATCTAGCCTCTTTTTTGCTTGCATCCTCAAGATAAAGGGCCTAGGATATGCTATACACCTCCTATACCCATGTCGACGCAATTCCTTTCGAATTGTACGCACCGAAGCCTCAATGCCAAGCACATTTTCAACCTATTCGAAAGCGATCCTCCTTCCGCTCCAATCTTTAGCGATCGTTCTTATAATTCGACGAATCTCTTTAGTAGTCATTATAGGCTTTTGATAAGCCTTCCCTTTCCGAGTTCTCTTCGATCACAAAACCCGTTACAATATGCCGTGAGAAATGTAATCAGAGTACATAGATGCTTGTCGGTTGAAGTATTGGATTTATGTTACAGCTCACGATTCATTAATGAAACGTGACATGATATGGAAATCTTGATCAAACGGGTGGGACTTCATGGCACATCGTAACAGCAATATCATCAGATTAACGTGACATGATACCGTGACAAATGCTTGAGTATTTCGAATCGGGTCACGGTTACGTGACAAGATAGTGTAACAGGATATAATTACATCCTGAATGGTCACGCTATCGTGACAGTATATCGTGACACGACCTATAGTAAAATCACAGGTAAAGATTTATCGGAAAATAAATATCCATTAATAATCGATTATTTCTAAAGATTGTATAAAGAAGATGTCGGTGAGTATGTGAGAAGTAGTGATTCTGAGATATAAGTATTATTTTAGGTGGAAGTAAACTAGTCCTGGAAGATCATTAGTATACAATTATTTATACTTGGTTTCATGATTGCAAGACGCGTTTTGTGAAACTAGAATAAGATAAAGCTTAGTATTAGATCATTTGAATATACGAATAAAAGGAGGATACTTATATAGTTAGTTGAGTAGATATATATTATTCATATAATCTAGAGATACTAACTTTGTATTGGTAAAGTTGTTTGCAATCTCTCTAGTCTCTGGGGTTTAAGAAACGAAAAGAGAGTTGAAAACAGATATAGTATAAAGTATAATGAAATCAACTCGATAGAAAAGTAAGAAAGGGACAGAGGGACAGAGGAAGCGGGGTAGCGGGGTAGCGGGGTAGCGGGGTAATGGGGGTGGGAGAGGGAGAGGGTAGAGTGGGGCAGAAGCGCTATCGCCTAAAACAAATGACTTCAGGAGCAGTCCCCGGTGACCCCCATGCGCGATACGGGCGGGGAGGGCGTGGCCTTGGGCGGGAATTTTTCTTTTTCTTTTCGATTTCTTCGATTTTCAAGAGGGAACAGGGTGAAATTTTCGAAAGATTGCTCCCGGTGAGTAGTTTATAGGGTGCGAAAGTCTATAAGTATCTTCCCGGTGAACTCGATAGGATTAAATCTTGATTCCCAGTGAAGTTATTTTAACGTATTCTTAAGGTTCCCGGTGAGCTCCCGGTGAGCCTTCATTAGCTTTAGTATAAAAGCCCTATGAGCATAGGCTATAGAAGCCCTAATGATCAGTACTAAGCCCTAAAAGGGGCTCTAAATAACCTGGTTAGGGGTTAGGGTTAGGCTCTCCTATAGGGAATTAGGTTAGGAGCGATAATAATACTACTAAGATATATAACCTCACCAGGACTTAATCAAATGAATTTCGAAAACTCTCTCTTATAGACCTTGATAATTCTAATTTAACTCCCGGTGAGCTTTTTATAGACTTGATTTTAGGGATAATAGCGTATAAGTAAGTCCCGGTGAGCTCTTTTAGGCTTAAAGTTATAGGCTATAGTGGTGAGATCACCGGTATAAAAGCTCACCGGTGATAAAACAATTTATCGGAAATTATTTTTATATAGGAGAATAATAAAAGTAAAGAAGTTCTAATTTTAATAATATAATATGTATTATTCATATGAATTATATATCACTAAGATTCTCTTTTCATTCTGTTTATAATAAAAACAATAAAACCTTTATAGAAGCTTATTTGAGTTTATAAAAGAAAGTGAACTCTGAATTATAAGAGCTAGCGCATTTGAAAGCCCTAGTTAAATAAGTATAGTCGACTTTTGAAAGATTTCATTCTTTTTTCAAGACTTATTTATAGGCATCAAGAGCCTATGATAGCTCCCGGTGATCTTTCTTTAGGCTAGGTGGAAGCCTGTAATATACACCCGGTGAGCCAAAGTAGGTATATAGCTATAGCCTATAGAGGTTTCGTATTATTTATTAAGAGCGACGACGATATTAATGAAAATTTCCAAGTACTCACTCTGAGTGATTTTTCCAACCATTTTTATTAGTGAAAAAAATATCAATAGCGATTTTGCATGTAAAGTAATTTGTCGGAAATTATTTTTTCGAATAAAATCAATTGTATGTTGAAAATCTACAGATAAGGAGTCGATGGGTATATGAATGGGGTGGGTTGAAGCCTCAAAGAAAAGTAAAATTCTTTAATTAGGCTTACTCTTCTAAGAGCTTCAACACATAATAGGCACTTATGCCTGCCTCATTCACACTGCTAAGCCTGAAAGTAAAGCCTATGTAGTGTTAATATAAAAGGTTAGTGATATTTCCTACCTATTGTATTAGCCTACACAGTGTTACAGGTGATATCAGTTAGAGGTCTTCGAACTATAAGTCGTTGATTAAGGTTAGATTCAAACAATCGAGGAGGAAGTCTGAAAAGACCTCTGGCGCGCATAGCACGTAGCAACTCCAAAGATTGAATGAATCAACTAGCGTTGACAGACTACTATACATAGGTGAGAAGGTAATACTCTATAGACCCTTTTGGGGTTCTGTATTATTGAATAATACCGCTAGCAAAGAGTTAGTCTGAAAAGACCTAAAGCGCGCACAGCACGTAGCGACTCTTTATCAGGGACAATAAATATAGGATTTCAGAATAGTCAAAACTCCCAGTACCTTGGTTGCTGTATCCGCGACCTATTGATATTTGAAAGCGTGGTATCACATAACTTGTGACGCCCCTCAGAATATTACAGGCGCATGGATAAACTATTCTACACTGTAATCCGCATAAAGCTTAGGCTTTGGATTACAGTTTAGGGTAGCCGACGTCCTGTCAGCTTCGGCTTGGCAGGCTCTGTTGGAGTCTGTGGATTAGTGGCCGATGGCTATACCTATTCCTAGACATTTGGGGGTAAGCCC